TATATATATATGTATATATATATATATACATGTATATATATGTATATATATGTATATTTCTCACTGTGAACTGATGAAACTGAAAGTCAATTAAATCTAAAAATCAAATAGTGATAGCACAATTCATACTTATTTATGTATAATTTTATAGGTTCACTATTTGGCAAGATTAATTGCTGTATTTTATTCATCCAGCTAAACATGTTTTATTGCTAGTTGCTATTATTAAATAACTGTATTTTCCAAAACAATCTTGTCTCTGCAGATTACAAGCAAGTAACTTACTAAAAATGTTTGGTAGTTATATATTCTTATATATGAAGAAAATATTAAAATGACAACCATGGAGGATGCCAAATAGTGAGCCTGTCTCAGTGTTTAATAATCATTCATCATTTTAACCTGCTGCTGCGCAGGAGGAGCATCACTTGCTGATCATCAACTTGTCGGCATCATTTTGACTCTTGCGTGTTTGTCCCTGCTGCATCCATTCGCTGTTCTAAAGTTCAACAATATCTGTCCAGCTAAACGGGGATCTTGGGATGCTCCCAGTCTGACTCGGAGGGCCAGAAATACCCAGTTAAAACTTGACAGCCTGTTGCCATAGTTACAGTCTCATTTACTGCTGCATCAATCCAAGCAGGCGTCCCAGTAATTGCCAGGGGATGGGGGACAATTAGTTTTTGGTGTTGTGTTGCACCTTGGGAGGTGAACATAAATGCTCAGTGAAGCGATGGCAGAGGGATGAAGATGTGATCGTGCTTTTGATCACCACCATCATTCAGCCTGTTAATGATTGCTTAAAGTCTTGTACCTGCAAACTGGAAACTAATCACACAGTAGAAGTATTTTGTTTTCTCTCTGTAAACAACAATATTTTTCCTCTCAAATATATTTACAACTGCATTCAAACATAAATAGTACCTCTGTTTAAAATAACCCCCACTTCCTCCTTTTTTCATCTGCAACTCTTTTTGTTTACTCTGTTTTCCTTTCAGAGGAACTTGGTGCTTTGCTGATATTGATCATAGAGAACATAACCATCTGTCTGAGAGAAATAAATTGAATCAGCTGATGTGCATTAGACAGATGTGTATGAATCAGTGCACACTTCCCCCTCGACCCCCTTCCATTAGGACGTTGACCTTTTAGATCACAGCTCAACAGGTTGCGCTCTGCTCTTGTTGCATTATTCTCAGGGTTTTTTTTTAACTGAAGAGCAGTGCAGTATTGAAAAGAATAAAAAAAACATGCATAGCTGATGGAGATGTGAAAGGTCACCAATGTTTTTCACTTATTAATGTCAAACGTTATATAACTCATGTTACCATGTGTGTTAAGGGTTATTATGACTGGACTGAGTGCTGCATAAGCATGGAACTTACACCCGAATAAGCAAGGAGGCTGCAGGAGTCGTCTGACCTTGACTTTGTCTGATAACTTTATAAAAAGACATTTCTTCATGCTCTCTTTGAACAGACTTGGAGACAAAGCATCATGTAAAAATCCTGCCTGCTTGTATCTGTTCCATTTTACAAGATTAAACCTGGGATTAAGAAAATTATGTACCTCTCCTGTGTGGCATATTTAATGAGCTACAAGGGTAATATTAAATTATCCTAATAGCTACACAAAGAACGAGTTTCTACCTCCTAAAAGCTCCATACAGAATTTATTTACTTATAATACTCCATTTATCATAATTTTGATTGTTCTCCTTAATCTGTCCCTTCTATAAAACATTTAGATTATGGATTATAAAACAAATGTTTGTAGATATTTACCTTTTTCACAAATTTGTTGCAGTTTTAGCACAAAATTGTTGAAAATGCTGCTTCTAATCTAATACAAGGTTTGGGCCATACAATTTACTTTCCAAATGGGTACAAAGAGAGGTACATACAGTAGTTGGTTGTGGGGATCTGGTTTGGAATACAAAATTTTAAAGAAAAAACAGCTCAGTCATTTCACATTTTTGCATTTATAATATTTCTTAAAAAACAGATTATTCAGCTGATCAGTCAACACACTTCCTGATTTTGCAAACACATTATTTTTCTATATATGTAGAACTATAAAACCCCATTAGATGCAGGTTATGACTGCTAAATTTTACTGAAACGACTGAAAAACTTTAAAATCTTCCATGAAAAAAAAAATATGTGAAATTTTCCCACAGCTGCAACAATATGCTGCACCTGATAACAGAACCATCCATCCATTTTCTTCCGCTTATCCGGGGTCGGGTCGTGGGGGCAGCGGCCTAAGTAAGGAGGCCCAGACTTCCCTGTCCCCAACCACTTGGTCCAGCTCCTCCGGGGGAATCCCGAGGCGTTCCCAGGCCAGCCGAGAAACATAGTCCCTCCAACGTGTCCTGGGTCTTCCTCTGGGTCTCCTCCTGGTGGGACATGTCTGGAACACCTCACCAGGGAGGCGTCCAGGAGGCATCATAAGCAGATGCCCGAGCCACCTCAACTGGCTCCTCTCGACGTGGAGAAGCAGCGGCTCTACTTGAGTCTCTGATCGAGCTTCTCACCCTACATCTAAGGGAGAGTCCAGACACTCTGCAGAGAAAATTCATTTCGGCCGCTTGTATCCGAGATCTCATTCTTTTGGTCACAACCCAAAGCTCATGACCATAGATGAGGGTAGGAACATAGATCGATCGGTAAATTGACAGCTTTGCCTTTTGACTCAGCTCTCTCTTCACCACAACAGACCTGTACAGCGCCCGCTTCACTGCAGACGCTGCACCTATCCGCCTATCGATCTCACGTTCCATTTTTCCCTCATTCGTGAACAAGACCCCAATATACTTTAACTCCTCCACTTGGGGCAGGACCTCCCCCCTGACCTGGAGAGGGCACTCTACCCTTTTCCGGCTCAAGACCATGGCCTCGGTTTTGGAGGAACTGATCTTCATCCCTGCCGCGTCACACTCTGCTGCGAACGGCTCCAGCGAAAGCTGTAGATCACGATCTGATAAAGCCAACAGGACCACATCATCTGCAAAAAGCAGAGATGCAATCCTAAGGCCACCAAAACGGATCTCCTCAACACCTTGGATGCGCCTAGAAATTCTGTCCATAAAAGTTATGAACAGAATCGGTGACAAAGGGCAACCTTGGCGGAGTCCAACTCTCACTGGGAACAAGCCCGACTTCCTGCCTGCAATGCGAACCAATCTCTGACACCGGTCATACAGGGACCTAACAGCCCGTATCAAAGGGCCCGGTACCCCATACTCCCAGAGTACCCCCCACAGGGTCCCCCGAGGGACGCGGTCGAACGCCTTCTCCAAGTCCACAAACCACATGTAGACCGGTTGGGTAAACTCCCACGCACCCTCCAGGACCCTGCTGAGAGCGTAGAGCTGGTCCAGTGTTCCACGACCAGGACAAAAACCGCACTGCTCCTCCTGAATCTGAGGTTCTACTATCCGACGGACCCTCCTCTCCAGAACCCCCGAATAGACCTTACCAGGGAGGCTTAAGAGCGTGATTCCCCTGT